AAAATAATACTAATAGTAATAATTGACCTTTTAAATTATTAATAATTTTTCTATATATATATAAGTGTAACAAAACTAAAAATATATATATTAAATTCTGAAAANTAACAAAGCTAAAAAATATATATTAAATTCTGAAAATATTTACATAGTTGAAGGTGATAAAAATTCAAATATAGTCAAAAATTAGGTGCTCACAACACTCAATTTTGTTGAAGCACATATCTTCAACTCTCGTTGATGCACTTTGTCATCAACACCCTATTTTTGTTGAAGCACATGTCTTCTACTCCCATTGATGCACTTTGTCACCAACACTCAATTATGTTAAAGTACCTGTTTTCAACTCCCGTTGATGCACTTTGTCACCATCCGTTGATTCACTTTGTCATCAACACCCAATTTTTGTTAAAGCACGTAATCAACTTCCAACTTTTTTAAACCCCTCTCCAACTTTTAGAGAAGAGTTTCTTCCACTTGTGCCATATTTGTTTGCACCTCTTTATACTTGCTTTTTTTCTTGAATCTGTTTTAAAACTTTTCATCGAATAGTCTAATTCTGTTGACAACTATCTATAATTTTGCCAAAATATTTTTTTGGCAAGATGAGCGGCACACATTGGCTAGCGTCACCCGCCAGCAGCGGAAGCTACTTGATTCTCTCTCAAGATCATAGAAATTCAGATACCAATACGAAAGAAAATATTTTATTATTAATCTTTGAAAGCTCTCTACAATTCTTTATTTCCTCCACAAATCTCCACACAAAAAATAAGCTACTAATATGAATTATAACCTATTTATAATAGTATGAAATTTATTTTAACTAGAAATAGAAAAACTTATTTCTATATTAATTCTGTCTAAAAATTCTATTTAGATATGAATTAAATTAACTAAATCCTAAATAATTAAGGTTTCCTGCTACAATTTTGAATTAGTTTCCAACGGTCACGACTTAGACGTACGAAAAGAAATTTGTCTCGACTATGTCTTTACTAAAAGTTTGAATTTCGTCTCACATAATTTTGACTCACCTTATTAACTTCATCCAATTATGTGTTTTGCAAGAGTTATAAGGTGAATGTTTCCTACTTCAGAAGAAATAGAGTTCTTCGACGTTCATTGGTATAACTCATAAATCTGTTCTTGTTGTATATTCTATAAGAACAAGTTTTTTGTTTTTGGAATATTCCAGAAATCTTAAGCACTTGAGTGATTCTCTTTTTTGGTAAATATTGTGAAGTATTCTCTTGAATTTTTTCCCAATTATGCTTACTCTCTTTTGTATTCATCTTAGCAACTCTTTTTTTCTTTTTCCATGGAGATATGTTTGATTAATCAAACATATTATTAATTTACTTTTAAAAAAAAAACTTGTTCCTCAATTTTCGCACTATCCAATGTCTGATCATAGTGAGTTAATGAGATTTCCCTTAGAGAGTCTCAATTGCAATATTTCTAGTACTAAAGTCTACTTTGATAACTTGTTTACTATCTTTCTTCAGCCATGTCTAAAGAGATAGGATTCCGTATTAGATTATTCTCCTAAATAAAAGATACTTAAGATACTTGAGATCTAGCTTTAATAATGTACATTCCATATTCGATTGTTCCCCTAAATAAAAGAAATGACGAAGAAATGACCTTATAAGTGACAAAAAGAAAAAAAACATTTTATTTACTAGTGAATCCTCCAGCTGCTCATCAAAGTCACCAAGTAATTGCATTTGTGTCCAAGGATGAAACTAGCACAGTAGAGAAGACGAAGTAAACCTGTATTTAGGGCAGTCAAATTTGGCTCAAACCCAAATGACTCGCCCAACCCGTCCAAGGTTGGGCTGGTTATTGACTTGCTCATTTGTTGAACGCAACGCATCTTGACCAAACCCATCTCAACCCATTTAAAGTATGACTAATTTTTAACCTAAATTGATCCATGATTAACTTTGCCAAAATATCTTAGTAATTATTTTTTGTTTGCTATGTTATATATGACCATAACAAAAAAAATATTAGTTAGTAATTATACAATTCATAAGAAAACAACATATATTAAGTAAAGTTTGATAAGAGTTGGGCGGATTGGGCTATGATCCAAGTTTTAGTCCATCTTAGCACAAGTAATTGACCCGCCCCAAATTGGCCAAACCGCCTATTTGACACCCCTAAATGTATTCAATTTCAATCAAGAAATTGAAGAAGATGTGGCCCAATGAGATAAACCTTAACCGTGCTTTAAGCAGTGACTTATTTAAATGTTTTTCGTCCTCTGCACATTATAGTGTTGTAGCCTCTCTCACAGGTAGAGCACCATCCTTTGCCAAATGATTGAGAAGGAAGAAAATCATTGGCAATATCCAAAAAAGTGAACTTTTGAGCTCCTTCACTAAAATGCAAATAGAATACTAGCAATGCTCCATATTACTACTTGTCATAACAAACTGCATTCAATCCAAAATATTTGCCAATAAATGGTAATTTAAACAAACTTTTGATGATTATGACAAGGAAATGTCTTTCTTAAGAGGTGTTTAAAAATATCAAAAATAATATTGGCCGAATAGTCGGTAGCCTCATGCTATGAACATCCTTGATAGTCACTAACCTCATGCTATGAAGGATTTTACTGAATTGAAAGAACATCATTGATAGTCACTGGCCTCATGCTATGAACATCCTTGATAGTCACTAACCTCATGCTATGAAGGATTTTACTGAATTGAAAGAACATCATTGATAGTCACTGGCCTCATGCTATGAAGGATTTTACTGAATTGAAAGAACATCCTTTATAAACACTACTTGGTTAATATTATTCTGAATAGTTATAAAGTCAATTATTACATTTTTTTTGTATATAGAATTCCATGCAGTTGACAGAAATTCTTCTGCTATAATTCTGACTGCACCAGGAAACAGGGCAAATGCAATCCCAATCAGAAACACCAATGAATTCCAACAATCTTCAAAGATCAATTGTCCTGATGCAAAGAGATTTTAAGGTATGGATCGTCCCTGTACTTCAAGTATTGAGGAAGTTCGAGAGCTCTTTCTGCAATCTTCATGTCCTCGTGAATCTTGGCTATCAAGGCTTCAAGTGATGAAAAGTTGACCTGTAATATTGCAAATAGTCGGTAATATGAGCAAGTGCTTTCAGAAAGAAAAAAGAAAAATAAGTGTAACTAGGCCACAATACCTCCGGCCGTATATAGCCCGCAACAACTAGGTGCAATTCCTCACCATAAAAGTCCTCATTGAAGTCATGAAGCAACCATGGCTCCTAAAAAGTAAAGTTGTCTTCAACAAACCAAAAAAAATCAAGAATAAGCAAGAAGCATATGTCACGACACACTTACTATAGCTTTCTCTGTGTTATTAAAATATGGATTCCAACCAATGCTCATGACCATCTTGTAAACACCACGAGCTGATAATCCTGCCCATCCAAAATATACACCCGTTGGATGTTCTGAAAGAAGGGCTGAATAACCTTCTGGGGATAAATTAGCTGAAAAAATATTTGATACCATAAGAATAGAAAAAAACATCAAACTGTTAGGTCATACAAGGCAAGAAAATAATCTTTCAAGCCCATCTAACAATTGTATATGTTCGAATGCAAATAACACATTGACATAAAATCAGAATCTCTGATATGATAGGTTCACAAGAAACTAAAATTCCAATAGCAAACTTATGTGAAATTCTAACAGCCACTCACTTCAAGCGAATACAGATACTGAGTCAAGCATTTATATTAGCCATTCAGCAGAAAGAATAACGACGAGTATACCTGTGGGGATCCCAAGAACTTTTGAGCCGCGCCCAAATCCCTTAATGACAGGACCACCTATATACCAAGGTTCTAAAGACAAAGTACCTTCTATTCCTGCATATGCTTCCAGTCAAAAATTGAAAGAGAAATCAAGTACACTCAATACAAGTAAAACATTCATAAAGTCTTACTATCTTGAAATGCAGGTAATCCCCACTTTTCTAGTTGCAAATCTAGAAGAGAAGTGATCACTTCATCAGCGGAAGTATAACTATGAGACTGCTTTGCAAGAGATGGTACAGCAACAACTGCCATTCCAGCAGCCTTACCAGCAGTGACACCTGGTCTAACATAGATATCTGGTCGAGTTAACTTTCACTAAGTTTTGAGATAAACGATCTACATCCAATTCAAAACTAATATGGACTTAAGAGAGTAAAGGGCCATATTTCATCCTAGAAAATGCAAAAGCGATGACAAGGAATTTTAAACCTCATTATCCATGAAATAAAAAATAAATCTAATAACTATAGAAATTATAAATTATGATATCAGAAGTTAGTAGCTAACGTTATTCAGTCCTATGCTGATATCCATCTTAACATGTGTAAATTTGAGCTGAGCATGATAAACTCAAACAAACCCCTCAATGTCTTCTAAGGAGAAAAACACCCCACTGATACCCTTCTTTTTCTTCCTTCTTTTGACCAGTAGTTAGATTTTCTAATGTGCTCCTGATATATACATAATCTTTGAAGATAAAAACTCACATTGAATCTTCAATGATAAGAAAGCTGGATGGATCCATGTTGAGTCTTTCAGCTGCTTCAAGAAATCTTCCAGAAGAAGATATACAAGAGTTAATTCAACATCCATAATACCAGATTATGAAATGAGAAGGACAAAGATAAACAATTCATCCAGTTTTACATTTCCGGAGATGGCTTTCCAGCTTTCACTTCGTCTCCTCCAACAATGGCTGAAAATGATTCTTTCCATCCTGAAAATAATAAAGAATATCCCAATCAAAGCATCAAGCATAAATGCTACCTTACATGTTGGACTGGCACAAAATACCTTCACAAGGAAAGAAATACCTCTAACTATATTTTAAAACCCTACCCTGATGATGAAAAATTTTGGTCTCTATGTTAGACCGAGAAGAATTTGAAACCAATGCCATGGGTACACCATGACCACTCAAATGGTTAATCAACCGATTGGCCCCTGGAAGAGCTTTGATATTGCGCCACCTATATCAAAATGATTAACAAAGTTCTATAAGAACTTTGGACTGGAAAGTATCTGCAGAATACAATAGTTATACAAGTTCCACAACTATATAGCAGAAGCTCTCGCAAGCAATCAGAGAATGAAAAACAGAATTTTACTAGCTCAAAGAAAAGAATTCTAAAGGTAACACCAATCCAACATTGCTTTCACTCTCAGCAAGAGCCAAGAAAATCATGTTCCTCAAACTAACTCTACCAAAGATGAGGTGATCACCCTTATTCCTCCTACCCGCCCCAACCCCCCAAACAGAAGAACAAAAGAAAAGGGAAAAACTTCACTCCATTTATTAAAAACCAACAAGTTCAATATACAAGAAACACAGATGATCGACGAACAAACAAAACATAATCATTTCTTTTTCTTTTTCTAATAGTTAATGTAGCTCCATTCTTTCATTCCTCTTTTTTCCCTTTATTTCTTTTGGTGATCTTTTTTTCTAATCAATAAATAAATATCACCAAAAGCAAAAAAGATAAAAAGAAAGAAACATGTATATTTGCATTTTCTAAATTGGAGATCAAAACTTGGTTCCCCTATTAGCAATTCTCCACAATATAATTACCACATGTACCTACTTAATTTTCAATAAGGGTTTTGAACAAAACGAACACCCCAAAACTCTGTTCTCTAGTCCTATCTTCTCTACTAACTAATTTGCAATCTATCATCCAAACAGCATACTGTTTTACTTTGTAACATTATCCTTAACATCCATTAATAGGATTTAAGGAAAAGAGTCTGCCTATTAATATTTTAGTGTGAATAATCCTCCAATAGTCTATTCAATTTCAGTTTGTAGCAATCAATAAATAGAAAGGAAATGAAACTATTTTTGCTGGTTTCTTACTGGTCAGAGAGCATTGGGTAAAATTGTGAAAGAAATTCATCTGTTGATAATGGGAGCCCATAATCTTCGACAACTGCAGCTGCAGCTTCTGTAGGGGTTTTCCCGACTATTTTAGGAGCTTCTCTCCCATCCCATTGCTTTCCATACTTAACTATGAAAGCCTTTAAAATCTCGCTCACAACACCATCTGTCAGAATAAAGAGATCAAATTAAAATTGGAAAACATGAGGGTAATAAGAAACGCAAATGCCCACAGGGAAGACATTGGCAATATAAAGTTTGATCCTATGCAGCAGTAAACTCTACAATAGTATGGTATTTCTGTCACACAAAAGGGACTTCACAATTATATAATCATCATCTTTGAGAGCCAGAGTGCATCTCAAATTCTGCTTAGAAGTTCCAAATAGTTGCTGGTACACTAAGCATTAAGGGATCTCATATTAAGCATATTCTCAAACAAGATAATTTGATGAAAGAACTTCAAAACAATAAAAAACTTTTACTACAATCTATTCTACACGTAAGTAAAGATTACAACAGTCAAAGATAGTGGAATTGGGAATATCTTTATCCAAAATTTCAAAGTTTCCGAGCATTTCATATTGCTATTGGACAATGTAAAATTGGAAGGAAATGAAAGGAACTCCGGCTTATGATTTTGAATATTGGAGTAGAAGTTCATAGTTATGAAGAACAAATACCATGAATGATTTAGGAGAATGGCCAAGAATATAATTTTAGAAGTGTAAGGTCAATATTCTCAACAGAAAAAAATATTGTTCTCATAAAAAGTGTAAAGTCAAACAAGACTAGCACTACCAACCTGTATTAAGAAGTGTACCATCCAAATCAAGGATGACACCAGAAACTAGCTTCTTCAAAGTTCGTTCAACAAACATCAAGAGCAATATCTGCCACGTAGAAACAGAAACCTATGTTCACGTTATGTGAATATGAGATATACTCGCACATTAATAAAGCTAAATATATGAATTTAATCTTGAAGTCAAATGTAGACATAAAATCAATATACAAACATTTGTGTATCATGATTGCATCAAAAGTAACGCTACTATTGCTTGGAATTCATTTTACGTTTCCTGGTCACCATCAAAACTGTGTAAGTCCATAATGGGCATGAGGAATATAAGCAGTCAATATTAGGACGAAATATATATTAACTTTGCATCCCACATACATAAAGAATCATGTCAAAGTAATAAACATAGATACCTTTGTAGACTTTGAACTCATTCTGACACCATATTGCTCATCCCCAACTAGGGATGTCAAAGGGACAAGTCGAATAAAATTTGGACCGGCTAAAATGGATTTTGGTAGAACAAAGTTAAGATCCAACACACCCAAAGTTTACTCGAGTCAATACGGGTTGGTTAATTTGGACCAAATAAAAGGGCATAACCCAACCCAACCAACGCATAAGTCTTACGTACACTAAGCTGAGATTTATAGAATTTCAATGTAACAACCTCCGGTTTGGCCCAAAAGAGTTCAGCTTGCTAACAAAAATTACTCCTTAAAAGGGTTAAAATGGAAAGGAGCAAATAAACTATAAACCTGACATAAGGTTATCAACTTTTGCTAAGACATTCACAAACAATCTGTCTTTCTGTATGACTAAGAATAGAGAAAATTGTATTCATAAGATTGAAGCTCCTCCCCCAAATTAAGAAACTCTTAATAATGAAAGTTCAGGTCATAGCTAATTTTGAGTATCACCGGAAACGAGTTGTGTCGTGTGTGATTAATCTACCAGGTAAGAAAGTAAATGGAAAATTTTAAACATTATCAACCAATAAAGTATCAAATTCACCTAAATATGCAATTGTAGTCAGTCTTCTTCTTCTTTACCAAACAGTCGAGCTATCTCAAGGAGATTTTAAAAAAAAATAAAGTAATAATTTATTGATGTTGTGGATAATTGTTCTGATACAAAAATACGGTTCTGCACTCAATAGCTAACAGAAACCGTAAAAGTTTACTAAAAACAAAGATTTGCCCCGAACAGAGCCACATCCCAGTTAAAGCTCGTAATCTAAACTTAATGTGAAATTAGATCCTTGATGTGAAAAATAATGATTACTCCAGAAGACGATAAGAAGTGGGAAAAGAGCAAGTACGAATTAAGAAGAGAAAATTGAAACAAATCGTCAATTATTTGGTATAAGCATCGATAAATGCAAAAGGCAAATCCCAAATGAGGAGTAAAAAGAAAAACCTGAGAATTTAATATAAGCTTAGACGAGGCCTTTAGAAGAATTCAATGTAGTAGTAAATTAACTCATGAATGAATGTCTAATTGCCAATTAAGTGAATTTTTTTTTTTGGTATGAGAAATTTAATGTCACTATTGTCAGAGTGGTGCATGCCTTTCTATTTAGTGAAATTCAATGTCAGAGTAATGCATGCCAATAAGTGAAATTTGGACACGTCACAAGATTACATATTTACATTACATCTGAGGTGTCAAAGTTAACACCTTTATATATTATTCACACAGAATATCAGTTACAATCACAAAAACAGAAAGTGTCTTTCCAATTTTAATTTGTACCCCAACAGTACATTTAAAAATACATCAATAACATAGCTAGTATTATTACACATCATGGAATCTGGGAAGTACATTTAAAAACAACAAAACTATATTTTCCGAAAAGCATAGAAGCAGCTCTTTAAAAGAAATTGTATCACCATCGATGAAATGCGATAAGTAAAACTTTTACTCACCGGCTATTGTCACACCTCATTTTTTTCGAGGGGATATGAGATTTTTTCAATTAAAGTGACATTAATCGAAATGATATTATTTATTTAATTCTGAGTTGCCACTTGGAATAATTTATGGTGGTGTCCTAAGTCACCAGTTTATTTTAAAATCCCAAATCGAGGAAATTGACTCTATTTATGGTCCGCGAACACAGAAGACCGGGTAAGAAATTATGTTAACCAAGGAGGTGTGAGGCACTCCCGAGTTCTATGGTTTTAGCATGGTCGCTTAACAATTAATACTTGGCCTAATTATCTGATTTATTACTTGTTTTAAACCTATTGTGCATTTTACCTTCGACCGCTTTTAATTATGTATTTAAACTGCTTTTTAGTATTTATGGAGTTATTTCTTGAACAAGTTACGATGTCATACATTTGTCGTTTGGGTACATATTGTGAATCGCATCACGTAAAATGCACCCGCGATTTACAATATATTTATTTTTATTATTATTTGAAGCTATGGTCGAGTCACGTGAAACGCACACTCGAATTGGGGATTATATATCATGACTTTACCACGGGAATCATATTCATAGTCACGATGATCTATTTATACGCGCCTAAAACAAACTACAATTGTTCATGAATCAATTAATTTTCTAAGGTTTGAGATTGCTTGTGAAGGCCACAAATTATGGAAACATAGAGTCATAATTGCAACAAGTGGTCATTGTGGCAGTGAATTAGCCTGAAATTGTCATGTGTGCGCTCACATTCGTAGGAACTGTACTAACATTTTAGACCATAAAAATCTTTAAGACAGCCACACCATAGGCTTTTAATTATCTAGTCATTGCACAAGCATGAGCACACTTGAGGGAGTATTCTGATTAGCGCTAAGCATCCCTTAATCATTGAGCTCAACCGAACTTTATGATTAAAACAAGCATAGTGACTAAAAACAACATTAGTTCGTCTACTGTCCATCTTTTGCATTTTTAATTGTACATTGAATACATGTAAACAACAGCCTCAATTTCTCCTTTTATGATAAACAAACAATCGGTTAACTTCATACAAATCGGATCATAACCCTTCCATTGAACTAAACATGGTTCATAAAGCAGACATCACATATATCTTTATACATCGTGTCCGGATTATGATTTTAAGATCAGAATTAACTTTAAATTTATTAAATTCAACAAATCTAGCATTCATAAATCTGTCATTATCACAACCAAGCAAACTAACATACGGGTTCAAACCAGTGTTTTAAAAGGCGTTTCTGGGGCAAGCCCCGGGGCGATGAAGGGGGGCGAAAGTCTCGTAAGGCGTACGCCCAGAAGTCCGGGGCGTACGCCTGGGTGAGTTTTTTGGTTGAGGCGTTAGCCCAAGAGACATCTTTTTAAAAAGGAATTAAAAATATTAAATTTAAAAGTAAACTTTTTAATATTGCTAAAAGCCCTAAATTAGAAGTCTTTTCCAATTCATTCCGCTAGTCTGCCTCTGCCAAGAGCAAGATTTATCACTTTTTTTTTTGCAACAAAAAACTTCATTCTCCTCCGTACATCAAATTCAACAGGTTTGTTCCTTCCTCCATGTAAAATCTTTATTATTTTGAACTCATTACTTTCCTCTCTTTTTATATTTCACTGTTAATTTGTAAATATGTATGTAATTAGTTTTTCAAGTTCAGTGTTTCTGCTGCTCTTTCAAAATATAATATGGGATTATAAGAGTGCGTGCTTCTATATGTATTGATTAGATTTATGAGCAAGTGGGTATGTTGATTGTTGAATAACTTTGATTTTTATATATGAAAATTAGAATTTGATTGTTGTCGAGGAAACATGGAATCTTTTTCAATTTATGTTTAATTATTTATCTTCATGAGTAGTTCACATTCTACAAAGTAAAAGATCCCTTTTTCATGTCTAAATCTTTAATTTTGCTTTACAAAATAAAAATGACAAAATTAAGATTTTTAAATCATTTTTGTTGTAGTAGCACCCTAGCAGGTGAACTCTTCAAAATCAAAACTTGCAGAAAATGGATGAAGGGGAGTCTGAAGATGTGAGCAAAAAAGATCCTGCCTGGAAGTATACAATCTCAAATCAGAAGGAAATTTTCTTTAGGTGTAGGTTTTGCACCCAAAAATGTAGCACTATCAACCGATTGAAACATCATTTAGCAGGTACTCGTAAAGGAATGAAGCCTTGTCCCAAGGTTCCTGCTGATGTAGGAGAAGAATGTAAGAAAGCATTACTGGAGTCGAACTCCAAAGTTGACAAAATTTGCTATTCGTGTCTTAAGTCTCACTTGTAGCTCCTCGGGTTGTGAAAGAAATTGGAGTACCTTTGAGTCGGTAAGTATTATACTTTTATTTTATTAGTTTAGTATTTGTGTTTCCTATATGATGATAACTTAAATCTTCTTTTTTCCCCAACATTTGCTAGATTCACACACAAAAAAGAAATAGGCTTGAGCATTGCAGGATAAATGCTCTAGTTTATGTAAGATATAATACAAGATTAAGAGAGCGGAGCATCAAAAGAAAAATGCAGAAGATTGATCCTATTTTAGTTGATGAAGTTGATTCGGATGATGAATGGATTACTGAAAAAGAAGATCATGTACTTCCTGAAGAACCTTCGTGGCTTGACGAAGAGAACTTATTTGATGTTGATTTTATTAAAATGATGCCATGTACTCCATATGAGGATGAGCTTATTCACGATCTTACAATTGATGTTGGTGGTATACAAAATACAACTGAATCAGGTCCTTTTAACAAAAAGCAGAAAGCAATTGAGACTTCAGGTAACTATATAGTATACATTGTCAACTTTTATTGCACTAGCTCAACTCTTTTTCATACGTGTATCAACTTGTGTTATCAAAAGAAAATATATTGATGTAACAGTAATACTAATGAAAAGATGCATATTTTTCTTTATTCTAAGATATACAGAGAGGCTATTCTTCTACACAAGTTCAGAGAGAGGAAGGACTACAAGACGTGGTGATTCTTGACGAAGCAAGATGGACTAATACAAATACTTTGAATTTGAATGACGATGGGGATGAGATGCTTGCATCGCACTTTGATAGCGATTGACCGTAACAAACCTTGTCCCTCTTTTTTTCTTTCTTTTGATACTTTTGTATCTGAGTAATTGTATGGAAAGAATAAAGAAGCTTTCATCTTGTTTTGGAGAGGGATTTAGCAGTATCATTTTATTTATAGTTTTTTTTCAAATTTCTATGCAATTTTATCCGTTTAACAATTATTTTTATAATTATATTAATTTATACAATATTAAAAATTAAATACCGCTTACGCCCCGAGTAGGCAACAGAATTTGCATTAGCTTTCATTCCATTAATCCAAATACTACAATCTTAGGAATATATGTGTAGCTGTTTGAAGCAAGAACAAAAAAATAACTTGGACAGAAAGCCAAATAAAGGCGAGATGCTTCAAATTGGAGTCCAGCTTCAGCAGAAATCAGCGATTCGGACTTCGAACAACACTTATAGGAACCCAGGAAGAGTTTTTTTAAAGCTTTAAAGTTTCCAGCAACCCATTAGAATTCAAATCTTCATGGAAATCTCCACTTCTCTTTCTGTTTTTCGAAGCTTTTGTTTCTCAAATCTGATTTTTGAAATTAGAAAATCCAAGCTCTGTTTTCAGATGCTCTCCCTCCGTGTATCCATGGGTGCGTGTGCATGGGTCTTTAATGAGAGAGAGATCAGCGAGAGGAGTATGTGTGTGATCAAATGAGAGAGTGAAGGAGGAGGAGAGGCGGCTAGGGTTCTTTTAGGAGGGGGGTCTGTTTGTTCTCTGGGTTTTGGGGGAAGAAAGTTTGGCTTTAATGAGGGGAAATGGAATTGGGCCAGGCGGGTCGGGCGTGGAAATTGGGCCAGGCGGGTTGGGCATGGGAATTGGGTTAGGATGGAATGTGGCAAGATATTGGGCTTGAAACAATTGCAAAATTAGCCACTTTGGACTCAAATTTTAATTAAATTCAATTTGTGTGGCTAAACTATTATATATATTTTATTTACTAATTGATTAATGACCTAATTAATTAACTAACCTAAGAATATATTTTTTTTATTTTTTTAGATATTTAAATAATGCATTTAACAATGTAATTAAATCCTAAAAAGTATAATTTAAAATCTAAAATGCTATAAAATTAAGATTTGAATATTTTTATGATTTTCTATGGTTTTAAAACAACTCTAAATATGCATGAATAACTCTAAACTATTTTGGAATATTTTTAGGAGTGATTTGCATTATGGCAAAAATTAGGTGCTCACATCTATTGCTATAATCCACTTCACAATTGATTATTAAAGAATAGTTTCAGGATACGCGCGTTGCGCGTGAACCTCGATTCAAGGAAATCAAAATTTTAAAAAATCACATAAAATCATTTTAAAATTGTATTTGAGTTATATAATAAAAGTTAACGAAAAACTATAAAATTATAAAACTGATGATTGTTGGTTCTATTTAATTAACTCACTGAAGGAAAAAGCTCTTCCTTGTAAAAGTCCTCAAAATTCTAAATAGTTATGTCATAAATTAATTATTAATTATAATTATGATTTATCCGACATGAAAAGCATTTACGAAAGGTAAGAAAATCTATCAATATTTCGTATTAGGATTAGGTGCTTTTATAATTAGAGTAGATATATATAGATATTGACAAATGGATATATTATACTCGTCTATCAATAAAAATCAATGCAAAAGTAGATCCTTAAATCACATTTTACTAACATTACGGTAAAATTTAATAAGTTGAATATAAAGTTCTAAATATTAGATTTTAAATTTTAATATTTTAATAAAACTATTTAACATAGATTTATTTGTTGAAGCAATATTTTACTTTTTAAAGGCATCGACCAGCTTCAACTATGTGGCAATAATTAACTCCGTATAAATTACTCCATCAATTTTTAGGTTGTTAGGTACCTTAAATATTCTAGAACTTGAAGGGCTATTTTTATACTTCCACAATATTCAAAATTAACATATATAGTAAACATTAATTTTAATTATTTAAATATATATTGCATTTAGTTTAGTATCAATTGCAATTTATTACCAATTTATTCTTGCGTACATTTTATATTAATTGGCATGCTGCTCACGTAATAAAATTGCTGAATTATTTACACTTTTAAGTTTTTTTTTTTATGTTAGTTTGTGTCTTGAGAAAGAAACATATAGTCACATTTATAGAGTAAATAAGTATATATAATGTTACGTACGTGAGAGGGTAACTTTTTAAGAAGCAACATACTCATAATGATAGGGTAGTAGTTATTTTTACCCAAATTCAAATAAGGAATATATTTATTTAAGTTTAAGTTTACTTGACTTTAAATTTTTAAATATTAGAACTTTTTATATAGTTCAAATAAGGAAAGTCCTAATAGTCAAAATTTTATTTAGGACCCGTTTGGCCATAAATTTTGCCAAAATAAATTTGGGTTTTATTTGGCAAACACATGTTTGGTTATAGATTTTGCCTATATTTTGGCAAAATTTCAAATCCCAAATCCAGCTCAATAGCTGATTTTGGCCAAAATATCACTATTACATTTTTAAAAAATTATTCCAAACTTTTGTATTTTATAAAAGAGTCCACCATTTATTATTTTATAACAATATTGCTTCGTCATCTCGGTCACCTGATAGTGTATCATGTAGTTCATTATAAAAATAATAATTTTGTATCAAATTTATTTATGTTCAGGACTATGATTTGCGATAATAATGAATGTTATTGATAATGGTACTGTTGGGTATTTGTGATAGTTTTTAGAACTTGAGGGTATAAGTCATATTTTTGTAACGATCCGACTTGTCGTTTTAACAATTGACGCCTCGTTCAATGACTTAAGGTCTCGAGCAGCTTCATATTATGTGTATTGACTTGTGTGCGTAGTTGAATTTCAGTTACCGGATGATTCGGGGTGATTTGGGACATTTGGTCCCTAAAACAGAAGCTTAAGTCTTAGAATTTTGACCATAGTCAGAACTGTGTGAAGACGACTCCGGAATGGAGTTTTGTCGGTTCCGTTAGCTCCGTTGGGTGATTTGAACTTAGGAGCGTGTCCGAAAAATTATTTGGAGGTCCATAGTGGAATTAAGCTTGAAATGGCGAAAGTCGAATTTTTGAAAAGTTTGACCGAGGGGTTGACTTTTTGATATCGGGGTCGGAATCCGACTCTGGAAATTTGAACAGTTTCGTTATGTCAATTATGACTTGTGTGCAAAATTTAAAGTCATTCCGAATTGATTTGATGTGTTTCGGCACAAGATATAGAATTTGAAAGTTCAAAATTCATAGATTTTGATTTGAGGTATGATTCGTTGTTTTGATGTTGTTCGATGTGATTTGAGGCCTCGAGCAGGTCCGTGTTATGTTATGTGACTGGATGGTGTGATTGGACGGGGTCCCGAGGGGCTCGGGTGAGTTTCGGGGTAGTTTTGGACTATTTGTATGCCATTTTTAGGTGCTGGTTTTTAGCTACAGTAGTGTGCTATGCGATAGCGGGTAAATGGACGCGATAGCGATGAGTAAAATGGGGAAAATTAGCTTGTGCTTCGCGATCGCAGATGAGCTTTCGCGATCGCGTAGAGGAAACTTCTGCTGCACTTACCCGACTTTAAAAGCTTATATCTCGCAATCTATAAGGAATTCTAAGATGATCTAAAAATACAAGTTGTAGCCCTTTGTGTATAGTTTTCATAAAAGCAAACCATTTGGCATTTGGAGTTGTGTACAAATAGTTATGATTTGTACACTACATGATGTCCGGGAAGATGTTTGGTAATCGCGAAGAAGAATTTTGTGTTGCACATGGCTAGCTTTGGTAACTTATATCTCAAAATCTATAAGGAATTGAGAAATGACCAAAACATAAAAATTGTAGCTCTTGATGTTTAGTTTTTAGAAAGATAAACCATTTATTATTTAGAGTTTTGTACAAAAAGTTATGACCATTATACTAGAGACTATCCGGAAGAGTTGGAGAAGGTTGTTGGAAAAATTTGTTCTTCACGATCGCGGGAGAATGGCCGTGATCGCATAGAGTAAAAAAATGCTAGAATAATTTTGTACTTCGCGATCGCTGGAGTTTGTCCGCAATCGCATAGAGGAAATGACTGGGCAGCAGATTTAAGTTCTGAATCTTTGACGATTTGGAGCTCGGGGAGAGGCGATTTTCGGGAGATTTTCAAGGGAAACACGGGGGGTAAGAATTCTTAACTCAATTTTGATTAAATTACCCGAATCTATTATTATTTTTATCATTAAATTAGTGTTTTGGGTTGAAAATGGTAGAAATTTTATAGACTTTAAATTGAAGATTTGGAGGTCGATTCGTTATCGAAATTTGATAAAATTGGTATGGTTGAACTCGTATCGGAATTGGTGTTCGTATTTCGTAACTTTTGCCAGATTTTGAGACGTGGCCTCCACGGGAGAAGTTTTGAGTTAATTTCGGATTTTTATTAAAAAATATAGTATTTTCTTATGGAATTGATTCTATAATTTTTGTTGACTGTATCAAATTAATTATGACTAGATTCGAGTCGAGTGGAGTTGAAAAAATCGAGGAAAAGGCATACTACTTGATTAAATTGGAGCAAGTCGAGGTAAGTGTCTTGCCTAACCTCGAGTGGGGGAATTACCCCTTAGGCATCGAGTCTTATGTGCCATTTGTGAAATGTGAAAAGCCGTGTACGCGAGGTGACGAGTACGTACTCGGGCTTATATGTTCAAAATTTATTGAGATAAAGTCGTAGGCATATTGTCTAGTAAAATGGATAATTGTTGGCATTTATTAAATTATATATTTGCCATGTCTCAATTCGCATTTGTTTAATTTATTTTTATATGACAATTTGATGTGGTTATTGTTTGTATATTTATGTAAATTCCGTGAGTTTGATGGTTTCATATTCTTGGAATTTAATTTCATTATGAATTTTTTCTATGCAAATAATTAATTAAGCAAGCTTAAGAAGATGTGCTAATATAATTATCTAAATTTGGATTAATGAAGGCTTTGCTTTGTGCTGAATAATTTCTATCTCTGTTGATTATTTTTGTGATATTATATACATTGTGTGGGGCCTTCGGCTATTTGTTGTGAAATTAATTGATTTGGTTGTATCTTTG